TTACTGGAGCACAACCTGCCACTGAATGCATCGCATCACGCTGCAGCTTTATTTAGAAATATGTTTCCTGATAGTGAAATCGCTAAGAAATACTTAAGTGCAAGAACCAAAAGAGGTGCAGTTGTTAAAGAAATGGATTTGAAAAATAAATCTTCAGTTATTGATCGCATTAAAACAACTCCGTTCTGCCTCTCTACGGATGGAAGCAATAATACCGATTCAAAACTGTATCCAATTGTTGTTTCTTTTTTTAATCCAGAGTCTTCAGAAATTGAGTGCAGTTTACTTTCTGTCCCTACTTTGGAAGGACATTTGACAGGCTTTTAATATAGCACAGTTAATTATTAAAACTTTAAAAGAAATGCAGTCCCTCTGGATAATTGCTTAGCACTAGGTGCCGATAATGCACCAGTATTGGTAGGCTTGAAGACTGGTGTTGCAGGTATCTTCAGAAAGAAAAATTCAGATTTGCAGATTATGAGGTGCACCTGTCACCTCTTAAATTTAGCAGCTGAAAAAGGAGTAGCTTCTTTACCAATAAATGTGGATGAACACATTGTTGATATTTATTATAATCTTGAAAGGAGTTCTAAAAAGGAGGAAAAATTGAAACAGGTCCAACAGCTGCATAATAGCAGTTTACAATTAGAAAACTTGGATGAAGTTATAAAATCAGCTAGGATTGACACCCAGTGGAGTTTAATTGGAAAACTGAAAGATGCTGATGGAATTTTAAAATATAGAGAACTGTCTAGAATTATGTTGGCCATCTTGACAGTTCCCCATAGTAATGCAGAGTGTGAGAGGATTTTCAGTGTTGTTGCGAAAACAAGGACTAAATTTAGATCTAATATTAGTGATGACACATTAGAAAACTTTTATTAGTGAAAGCAGGCCTACGTGGCAATTGCTATGAACAAAATTATGAAGTTTCTTTCTTAAAGAAAGCAAAATCTGCCACTGTTTATACCATTTGTACAAAAACTGATTAAAGTTTTTTTTTTTTTTTTTTTTGTTTTCTTAAACGATGCAAGTAATAAAAATGTTTTTTATGTGTAAGGAATTTTTGTGTTGCTTGCATTTAAGAATTAGTTACTATTTAAAGTTAATTCATTATTGAAAACTATATTTTCCTCATTTAAAAAGTCTTTTTAACATTGTGAAAATATCCCGATTTCTTAAAAAAATCTCCTGATTTTTGAGTGTCATAGGTTGGCAAGTATGCAAGCGTAATGTTAGCATCAAAGGTTGCCATACTCTTGTTATTCAATTACTAATATAAAAAAAAAAGTTTAGACACATTCTGGGTGAGTTATTACTGAAGCTGTCATGTATTGATAAACATGCTAGTGATGAAAGCAAAATATAATAAATAATGACTCGCCAGGTTCCGCGCATCAGGATATAAAATAGGTGAATGTTTCGGTTTGAGATGTATGCCAAGCAGATACTCAAGCTACGGAGCCAAATTATTAATCTCACAGATTTCTGCTTACATGATTGTTTTTCCATAACGAGGTATTTTATTTAGTGCCTAAGTGAAATTAAGAATTGGAATTTTTAAGTGAAAATCTCCACATGTTTTATTATGGAAGAAAAAATCAAATGTGCATGCGTAAAGCATTAATAATAAAAAGAGTTGTAATAATTTTTGAGGTCCGAATTTTAGATCATTCTGGATAATGGACGTCCGGATTTTGGACTTTGTACTGTATTTGGTTTTGTTTAAGTTATTTTTTTAAATTATTAATTACATGTGATAATATTCAAATTTGTGATATTATTCAAATTTGTAACTTTTTTAAATTTGTTTAATTTTTAATTTCTTTCTTTTTAATTAAAAAAAGGATATGATTAAAAAAATGAATTAAAAAAATTGTATATATATAAGTATAAATTTTTACATTAATCCTCTTCGAAAGAATGATTTAACTAGCTAATTTTCTCTTGTGTTATAGATTGTAAAAGAAACATGATCTTTAATATGATTTAGATAGTTTATAGCCGATATAATAATTGAGTCACTCAGTGGTACAGAATTAAACACTGCTGAGACTGTTTTATTTCTTTGTCATTTAGCAAAAAATCTTACTTTGCTAATTAAATATTTATTCCTTTGAACTTTGCTTTAAATTTTATTGCCTAGTTAAAATGCATGGAAAATGAAAAGCTATCTTCAACTGAAACACAGTTGATGTAATTAATATTTTTTAAAAATTGGCAAGAATACAAAATTTATGGAAGTGTAACAATCGAAAATTTTTAAATTTCTTGTGGTGAGCATTGAAAATAAATGTAGAAGGAAAGAAGAAAATTAGGGAGAAAAGTAAGCAAAAATCTGAAGGGGAATTTGGCTTTCAGAAATACCAAGGGATTTCGAAAAGTTTTATGCTTTTGAATATACTTTCAGAATACTTCAAGGAATTTGAGTGTTCAAAGAGAAAACACTTGGATATGTACACCAGCAAATACCATCAACTAAGCTTGTGCTAACGGAAAAGACAAAAACGATATCATTGCAGATTAAAGTGAAGAGCGACTGGTTTTCGACTATATGTTTGTATAAATTTAAATTATGTTATAGAACATCATATCATCATAAACGGAGAATCTCATGATTTCTTAGTCGAAATATTTGAATATTCAGGAGTTTATCCACTGATGTATGTGGATGTCCCTTAAAGACGTTTTCCCTCTTGATGAAACCAGTCTTTCCTTTCATCTCATGCCTTCAAAATGCTTAGCCTCTAAAGACTGATAAAGGCTCTGACTAAATACTGATGAAATGGATTGAATTGGATTATTAAGCTACGACAAAGCAGGACTACCTGCTTAAAAGGAGAGATGCCTTTGTGAAGAACTTTCTAAGGGAAATTAGCTGGCATACATGTTGCAATGATAAAAACCACAAAAACGTGTATGCAACCAGCCTGTTCGCCGGGATTTGAACTCCGGACCGAACTACCAGTTTTTAGCGACTTTACAGCTGGGCCGTTTGTGGGCCTTTATGAAATGGAAGGCGATAATTTTATTTAAAATGAATGTCAGAAATACCAAGATGTTTGGAAAAGTTGGATGCTTTTTAATATACTTGCAGAGTGCCTGAAGAAAAAAAGCAAGCCATTAAGAAGGAAAAAAAATTTAGTATTTTTTTAAATTAAAAACATTTTAATCTTGCGATTTCAAAAGTAAAATAATTGACTAAAATATGAATAATATTTTAAGAACTAAATGTGGGATGATAAAATTGTGTAAAGCAATGAGCACAATGTTAAAACTATTTAAGGCAATATATGCAAGTCATCCTCCTAAGTTAAAATGTTGGTTATGCATCTTTCTCATTTATATATCTTCTCTGAACAGAACATTGAAAGGCATGTTAATTGTGCTTTACTGTGTTTTCTCTTTTAATATATTCAGTTTTCAGATGCATCGTAGTCTGCGACACAAAGTATTCTTCCGAAAGAAACACAATTCAATTAAATGAAATAAATCCTGGAAAATTTATATTAATAAATATATTTAAAATGCTTAGTTCAAATGAATAAATAGAAAATTTTTAAATAATTATCTGAAGAGACAATATGAGACAATGCAACAGAAACAATTAAAATAAAAGTCTAAAAATTTTAAAATTACCTAAAATAATAACTATGACAAAAATAAATTATAAAGAAAACTATTTGAAAAAAAAAATAAACCATGCACCTTTTATTTAACTTATTTAACTTTATTTAACTTATTTTAACTAATATATGCAGTTCGAATGGGGGAATCTAAATTTTTAAAACAATTATTCGAAAGAAACCATGCAACTTAAGCAATTAAAATGAAATTCAAAAAAGAAAAAAATTACATAAAAAATAATAATTATAATTAAAATATAATATAAAGAACATTATTTTAAAAAAGGAACGATTGTAACTTTTTCCTGCTCACGGTAAAGGAAAAGAGACTGCCATATATTAAGAAGTTCGCCAAGTGAACTATTCTTGGTGCAAACTGGAAAAAAAAAAAAAAAAAAAAAAAAAAAAAAAAAAAAAAGCATAAATTTGTGAATTTCTTTGTGAATTTCGCACCAAATTTTATAAAATTTCATATTTAGGCATATTTTGAGTCTTAGAATCGAAATACGGGAAAAAGTGATATGTTATTTCAGGAAATGTCCAATTTTGTGTCAGAATTACTATGTTAGAATAGAGCTATATATAAATCTAATATATATCATAAGTCGCACTTTGGAGACATGAAAAACGCAATTTGAATTTCATCAATCGGCCCAGTAAAACGGGAAATATAGAGCCGTCTCCCTTTTTTTTGTGCAGTGTACATGTAATGCTCCACCATTTTCCCCTATTGCATTAGTATTCTTGCGAATCCTTTATTAAAAAAGTAGGTAATTATTAATTTTTGCCTTATATTGGACAGAATGAAATTGTAAAATGTGGCCATGTCCTTATCCAAATGTATGTGTGGGAGGGAAGGTAGTGTGCTGAAGAATAAAATAATTTGCTGTGTTTACATTCATTCTACACAAATATAGGATAAGTAGTCACAAAATGTTATTATCAAGTATTGTAGAGTATCTTAGACCAGTGGCTCTCAACCTTTTGACTAACGTGTATCATCTAAATAAAAACTGAAAACCTTTAGTACCACCACTACAAAGTACTACTACTACCACCACCACCACCACCACCACTCTTGAACAAAGCTCAGATTGCTTTAATTTACGAGTGTTGGAGAAAAAAACTCAGTCGAGATGTTGGGGTTTTAATTTTTTAATTTAATAGTTAAAAATACTTTACTTCTTTGCGTACCACCAGTTGAGAACCCCTGTCTTAGACTATTGCAAAAACTGATAGGTACTCTATCTTATATAAAGTTAAAAATGAATGGTGTTCTTAGCATCTCTGAGTGTATTCAGTTTTAAATTTAGTTTCCATACCAATGTCATTTTCAATTACACTTTGATAATGAAAGGAAAAATTTAATTTTAGGATCACAGAAAAAATCTAAAAAAGGTCCACATTATGCTACAAAGATGTTAAAGAAAAAAAAGAGTGTTCGTAGACGTGCTATGCGCCATGTAATGAAGGAAACATTGCCGCTAACATCTGGTGAAAAGTTAGTCACAGAAGCTCTAATTACTGAAACAAAAGCACATGTTGTATGGCAAGTAAGTTATAACTGTTGGAAAATAAAAAAATGTTTACATCACACCTGTATATGATAAAGCTTCAAAATTTTTAAATTATATTTTTTTTTAAGGATGGCACTGTGGAGCATAATATCTTATCAACATCACTGTATCCTGTTCATCACCTTGATTCTCATGAATTCTTTCCTGGTGATTATGTTGTAGATGGCAAAGGTTTGTGTTATTTTTGTGTGATATAAAATTGTAATTTTTGAGGGGGAAAAAGGTAGAAGAAATATGATAAATGAATACTTAATATATTTAATGAATATTTTAGCTGGAATTTAATACCTCATGATTTTTAAGTATTTTTATAATTATTTGTATTTTTTCTTGTTATATTCACTCTGCTGTATATTATAAAGCCCTTTATTAGATATAGCTGAAAACAAACTCCATATGAAATAAAAGTTGGTGTTTGACTTCAAATAACTTCTTTCTTTTTATACTGAATGGTTTCTGAGTGGGCTGAATTTGTAGTAGTTGCATCATTGGAGATAAACATAAATTTGCTGTAAATACCGTATTCGACGGCATATAAGACGCACTTTTTTTCCTAAATTTGGTCTCAAAAAAAGTTACTTGCATCTTATATGGGAAGGACACAGGTTAACTTTCAATACTGAATGCTATTTTTAGCCCGGATAAAGATCTAGACACACATAACTTTAGAATAGAAGAGAAACACGCTAATGTGACAATCAAACTTGTAAAAACAACCTTGTATTTAGCGTAAGTATATTGAAACACTCAATAGATTTCGAGGGCAGCTAAAGGTCCCTCCTCATCAGGAGAAATAAATGCCTAGAAAGAAGAAAAATAAAGGGAAAGTCTCAGAAACGTGGGGTCCTTACCACGTGTAGTGCTGATAAGGACCACGTGTTTCTGAGACTCCTTCCCCTTTATTTTTCTTCTTTCTAGGCATTTCTTTCTCCTGATGAGGAGGGACCTTTAGCTGCCCTCGAAATCGATTGAGTGTTTCAATATACTTACGCCAAATACAAGGTTATTTTTACGATTTTGATTGACACAACTTTTTCTACATCTACATGTGTGTGGCCTTCTAAATAAGGGTGCGTCTTATATGCCAGTGCGTCTTACATGCCAGTGCGTCTTACATGCCGTCAAATACGGTAAATGGTAAGAGTCATGGAAGGCATCTCATTTTTTAATGCATTCAATTCTTTTAGTACATGTTTGCCTTCATTAAAATGGTAATTTTGATCTAAATCATTATCATATAATTGTATACATTAAGAAATAAATTTTGATCTAAATTATCACATTTTTTCCTTGCTAAGTTATTGGCTTCTTTATCAGAGATTGCAGCTGATCGGCTAAGGTGTTAAATCTAATGTTTACTTTTATGGTAAAAACTGACAGTTATTTTAAAACAATATGCAATTTTTTTTCGTGGATTTGGAGTGAATAATCACAACGCTTGATGAAGTGTCAGAACTCACTTTATTCTTAAAGCCAGTATTATTCAAGACAGCTCCAATAACACGTTTTACAGTCATCGAAGACCTACTATAAACACACTGAAACGATCAGCAACACAGCCTTCAGGTGATCAGGCTATAACAGTGGACAGCTTCACAGCAAAGCGCCAGAGTTCAGCTTCTGACTCTGCGTAGTCATTCTCAGAACTCCACGTACTTTCGAGACTTTCCACGCTACAACTCACGATGCACTCGACAATACACTAGAGTACAGCTCCCGAGTCCTCAGTTCAGTCATTGCTGGTGCTCAACACACTCTAAAATAAAACTCGATGATGCACTAACTTGCGATACACTAAGAGACTGTTTAGGTGCAGTTGACGACCAACTCTTCACTCACTGACTGCCTATCAACTCGATGGACTCTCACTCAGACCGACTAACTATCAACTCGCTAGACGAGGCACTAACTGACTCGATACTAACTCTCCGCATACCGCAGGGTTCGTATAGCTTTTGGCTTATGTTCGAGAATATTCTGGGCTAAATGGGAAAGAATTTGTCCCAGAAGGTTCTCCATCCATCTATGGCATATCTCCAATTTAGTCATCAGATGGGCGATTTCTCGCCAAATGGGGCAACCCTGATATCCCTTGCCGTTTTATGGCAACCCGAAACCTGCTTTGTGGGGAAACTATCTTACCGCACCTGGACATTTCGTAACACTGTCCCCTCCCAAGAACTGCACGTCCTGGGCACTACAACTATTGGTCAGAAGCCGAATAATAAAACAAACAAATAACATAAAAAAAAAAATATTTACACTATGTGCAAGTTATATATATGGAATTAACCACATAACAATTTTAAATAATATGAATTAAAGTTCAGAATGAATTTCAGCCTCAATCTTTTCATTAAGTTATACTCGGGTCAAATACTTTTTCGCTGCAGCTCTGAGATGTATTTCTGTTTTGCGTATCACAGTCTGAAGATTCAGTCCTTTCAGACTTTTCATCCACAGGAAGGTCTGAAACAGTTTTTTTTTTTGTTCACCACTTTTTTTTTTTTTTTTTTTTTTTAAGCAACAGGTACTGTTTATTTCCTCTATTTCTTGAAAACCAGTTCCGATGTTTCTAGTAGAGACATGAACAGAATCCAATCCTTTACGAACAGAAGTATCCTGGTTTAATGCTTTCAGGATGGGCATTCCATATATGCATTCCCTAAGAACGTCTCTTACAGCCATGCATCCCATCCATGCATCACTAGAGATTGCATTCAGAGGACGGGTGATGTGTATACGCATTTTAAGCTGGAAGCTTTTCTGAAGGCCACTAGATTGCATCCTATGTCCATTACTTTTGAAATGAACACAGGTTTAGGTTCCTGACCTTGAGCTTGATATATTCTGCTTGACTTTTAGTATTAAAGTGTGCTTTTAGGGCTTGACTTTTAGTATTATTTAGTTTGGTATTTTACTCATCAGCTGTTGTGAGGGTGGGGGGAGAAGGAGCGTAAAACAAGTGGGCTCTTTAAATCGCTGCATGCTAATGAAGACATTTGCGTGTCTGATTTATATCCAATTCTTTTTTTATTCTATTTTATCCCTCTACTATGTACGGTCTTTTAGGGTTACTGTGTAGAGTTCTTTTACGTTTTGCATTGCCTTTAGATATATTTCTGTTTCTTCTCTTTTTATTTCGGAAAGCCTCACCTCCAGTCCATTATGGTGCTATTTATCAGACGAAGAATACCCTCATGTGGTTAATGAACCATTTATTAATGCAAATGAGAGTGATGATTCATTTTCTAAGGAGTTAGAAAGTGATACTTTTTCTAAGAGTTAGAAAGGGATACTTCTCCATGCTTTGAGATTTACCACAGTCTTCATTTTAAATTTTTTTACTTCTTACTGTAAATAGTCTTTATTGTGTTGTTTAATTAATTTTAAACTTTATTGATGGATTTTATCAATTAAAACTTTGGAATAATTTGAATAGCACTTCCGAAAATTATTTTACAAGATAAACAATTTTTTAAATATATTTTCATGTAAAATAAAGAAAAAGATGTTATTAAGTGCTAATTTTAACATATATAAGAGCTCAGTAATTAAAATGATACCAAAAATTACAATGCTAGAAGCAAAACTTTTTTTCTGATTTTTTTTATAAAATTAGGCTTAGTAAGGCAAAACCTCTGTCTTATACGGTGAGTGCCTTCGATTCCCTTCCATCCCACACAAGCATCAAACAAAGGTGCACCATCGCTAAAGGGTTAAATAAAGTCAGTGTCTGTACAGCTTATTTCAGGAGATACACAGTTCGTGAAGTGAATGTATTTTCTCACAATATTTGAGCATTCTGTATAAGCTGTACATCAGCTTCTTCTATCTTTGCATCACATGTATTTACAGATGGTTCAATATTTGCTAACAGTGACTTCATAATTTCACTATCAGTTTCAACGAACTTAACAGTCGCATTTCCACTCTCTTCGACTTTCACTTCAGGCGCTTGAGAATCAAAAACTTCTTTCCCTTCTTTTATTTCTTCATCTGTTCGTTTTCTCTCTTCAGTTTCGTTAAATGGTTCATCCTTCATTTCTTGATCTTTCTCAGACACTTCACTAGCTACTTCCTTCATTTCATCCTTTGATTCTTCAGATGCCACTTCTCTCATTTCCACATCTTCTTTTATGGCTCCAGTTTCTTCTGTAAGCTCCACTTTCATCTGTGGGAGTTGCTTTCACAGCTTTTCGTGGCCAACATTTATCTCTTCCAGTCCGGCTTTCATCTCAGCTCTCATCTCTTCATATCCGGCATTTTATCTTATGTCTGGCTTTTATCTCGGCAAAAAAAAGCTATCAAAGTCTTTGTTTTCTCTGCAGGCAGCGTCACTGGCATTCACTCGCAAATTCCATTTCTGACACTAGTTGTTGCGTACTTTTCTTCCTTCATGTATGTACAGGTTCATGGATTTAGTGCAGGGGTGTTTGTGCTCCGGGGATTTTGAATTTCAAAAGAAAGTAGGAATAATAATGAATTGTTTATTTTGATCTGGGTAATTTTGTTTGCTTTGAAAGCAGAAAACGCAAGGTCAGTGTGGTGTGGTGAAAACTTTTCCTTTCTTTCTCCAAAGGCAGTGATAATGCGTGAAAAGGGGGAAAAAACTTTTTTTTTCTTTCCTTATTGCGAGTTATGACTCATTCCCCCGGTTCTCGGACATTCTTTTCTGCATTCTTTTCGGCAAGTAGGCACGGCAGAAAAAAAAGGGAGAGACTTTGTTCGACCAGATGTGCGATCACGTGACTCTGGGTTCAAAGGTCTTATCTCTCCTGGCATGGTGCCAATAAGTAGAGAAGGGCGATTTTTCGCCATATTACCTATTTGTCATTGATCGCTTCTCAACTTTTTTTTTCTCCGCTGTGTAAAATTTTCGTTTCATTTATTGATGCACGTGTAAATTTTTCGTTTGGTTTATTGAAATATTTTTTTATTTATGAACGCAAGAGAATTTCACTATAAAATTTCTCGATATAAATAGTGATATTATGCAATTAGAAGAAGGTGTCCGGAATGCATTTAGGTGGAATTGGATTGAGCGGAGAGATGGTAATGGGGATACCATCGGCACATGGTGCAAGAAAATAAATGTTGCTGGACAAGCATATTGTGTTTTTTGTAACTCACTGCTGAAGTATGGTGGGGAAGGATTCAAGGCTTTCACA